TTTTTAGCCGACACAGCCTCAGGGAAGACTGCTGCCATGAGGTTATCTGCATCAGAACACATTTACAGAAGGTTGAGTGGAAGAAAAAGAGCAGTAAAAAAGGGGAGCACACTTAAGATGGTACGTGGCATCTCTGATGCAGCTAAATGGGGTACAGATACAAATATTAAAAAACTTTTTTGCATGCCCCACTTTCTCTCCTTATCCATTTCCTGTCTAATAGCGGCGGGAGGGAAAAAATGCTACTAGTAACACAAAAAAGGAAGCATAAACAATAGTAGGGCTGGGTATTGTTAAAAAAATTTCGGTTCCGGTACCAATACCGATACCTTCACTTCGATACCGGTTCCTGAACGATACTTTTTTCGATACCAGTTTTATAATATCAATTCGAAAAAAAAGAAAATTACACAACATAAAAAAGTACAAATCTTGAGTTTTATTTTAAGCTCTGTTTTTCCATTTACATTTTTCCTCTTACATAAAAAAATAAATAATTCAGTGTCTAATATTCACTGTTACATTGTGAGGACCTTTTTACTTAGCAGTTTTCCTTTAGAAAAATTACCATGTCTGACAAACAAGCCCGTTGAATGGGATCCTACTGACAGCGCACCGCTGGTATGGGGGGGGGTCTGAGCGGCTCCGACAGAAATATTGAAGGCAGGATGAACTGACTGCACTGATTACGTTTTCAGGTGGATTTTCCCACTTAAAAACATAATAAAACTACTTTATTCCCACTGATCACAGCAAATATAGCTGCAAGGCAAATAAAGGATAGAGTAGCTCCGCCCAACGCGCGTCTGACCCACTTTGCGACCGCGCAGCCAGAGCAGCAAAGCTTCTTCAGCAGCGCGTCAGAAGCTGGTACAAGCAGCAAAAATGAAGCAGCAGACGAGATTTTGCTGCTCTTGCTGCGTCCAGTTTGAAAGCAGCATGATTCACTCCGCTCTGGCTTTGCTCTGCCCACGGGCTGCTGAGAGGAGGATGGTCGCGCTGGCTGCGGTCCGCTCTTCTTGCAGTCAAACACTGAGCGACTTTCTGCTCTTAAATTATTTCCGTGCACGATGTATTGCATTGTGCACTATTAGCATCAGTCTTAATAAAGTGAAGCCGCACTTTTGACCTGGGGGGCATTTTAAAGGGGTTCCGCGACGCTGCAACCAGTTCACAAAAGATACACATGAACCCTGGCTGTAGGCGTGACCACCTGTGTATTTTTCCTGGATGACGCAATCACCTTAAGTGTTCCAGCCAATCACCGAAACTTGGTACCGAAAGACGAGGCATGTTTCGATACTCTGTAGAACCGAAGCATTTCGGTCGGTACCATAAAAGTACCGAAGTTCGGTACCCAGCCCTAAACAATAGTGATAACATGTCCATGAAAATGGCTGTGAAACAAGATCCATTATAGAGTTTCGAATAGATAGACAAGGCATGAGCTGCAGCTGGAGCCTTTAAGTGTCACTTTATTCCCACAGACGTGGGAACAAAGGATACCAAGATGGTTAAAGCTGCTTTTAAAGCAATCTGGGCTTCCTTAATGCACCAGCAGAACCACAGCCACAATGCCTCAAAGAGGCGTCAACGCTGCATGTCATGCAAAAGGAACACAGTATACAGACATGCTTTTTAGGAGAGCCACACTTTCTTTAGATAATCCGGATGTTTCCTTTGTCATGTAGAACTTTTCAAAAGGAACCTATTTTTGAGCTTCCCTTTGTGTAAAGCTCAGGCTGGGCAGTAAAACAACAGGTTTCTTAGTAGAATTCTGACCAACAAGAGAAAATACAGACTTAATGCACTGACTGTCTAAGTCAAGGCTAATTAGTTAGTTCCCCCCCACAATCTCATTCAAGCAAGAAAAACAAACAGATATTTAAACAAATAAGAACAACATACTGACAGAGGTAGTCGGTTGTTTTTCTTATAAGTTCTACGTGTGAGCAGGTGTCCAGGACATCTTTGCTCTGATGGTTCCCAGTTATGCGTCATCCAAATAAACATAAGATAGAAAACACACCTACAGGACACATGAGCTGATAGTGGCATGATTTGGCGGTTTTGTCAGAGACATGTTTGACATTTTCCTTGTGTTGTTACCACTGAGACACACAAAGCACACCTGTATGACACCCTGCAGCGCACAGAGGAGATCAAACAATAAATGAATGAAGCTGAGATCTCTGGTGAAGCACTGAGCTCAGAAAAAAATAATTGGCAGCTAGTTTATTCCACAGAGCATTATGGCCTACAACCACTGTGCAGGACATTTTCTGCAAAACTGCAGCGAAATGGTTGACCTCTTTTATAGCCCTAGTCTGTATTCTGCGCATTTTTAATATCCGACCTTATACATTTGCTTTGAACAGGGACAATTCTGAAAAGGGGGGGGATAATGTCAAACTTATTTTTCTTTAAGGTACATCTGGTACGCTCTTTTAGTCCCAAAAACAAAAATAATATTAAATAGAACAATGATACAAAACATTAGCATACTACGCATTCCAGTAAATTATTAAAGGTGGTTAAGCCCTGGTTCTATTTCTGCAAGTGTGGGAACTGACTTCAGTAGAAAAAAATAATACCTATACATCAATCCAAGACTGGAAACTGAATATTTAGCCTTTGTCAGTTCTAATGGGTTAGGTCAAATACTGAAATTGTTTTGTCATTCAAAAAAAAAAAAAAAAAGCCAAACAACATGTTACAGTTTGAGTTGAATGCAATCTTATTTCTTTATAGCTGTTAAATCCAAATTATTAGCTCTATCAAAGATGGCGCCACTAACGCAGCAGGTCAGGCCTCAAAGGAAACTGGAAATAGATTCATTCAGGAAAAGTCTGATGGTGCATCTCTACAAGTATAAACTTTGACGTCATAGCACATGAAAATGAGAGGCACAAACAAAACAATTTTTTTACATTACTTCCCTGAAGTTAAATAATTATTTTTCATTAAATTTTCTTTTTTTTTATGCAAAACTTAAGAACTTGAAAATAACATTTTCAAGTATTTTTTTTTTGTTTTTTGTTTTTTTACATAGATGACTCTGTAGAGATTTCTTTTTATATGACTGATATGACTGATACTGTCACTTCTAAGATCACGAGACACCTTCAATGTAATACCAGTGTAAGACATAAACCCGCACCTGTGAAACAAATACTAATAAAAAATGCTCTCTAATATGAATCTCTAATATGGAGCATTGACAGGGGGTGATATTCAGATCTTTGCAGAGGAAGTAAAGATTGGTTTCAAATTTAAGCATGTGCCGATCCATTTAAAAGAAAAAGGAGTGGTCTCCTGGAAACATGGGAGTTTAAAACTCCAGTTAGTTCAGCTTCGAGTCATATCTTTTTTTCTCTACTGCCTATCTCAGTTATGTGTAAGTGTAATGCACAGAGTTTCTCTTTTAGTCTCCATTTACAGCTTGCTCATTGTTTCTATTCATGAGCATTGTCAGGTCTTTTAGCCATGGCGTTATGCCCTTACTCCATCAGCTAATGTACCTACAGCTAGCAATGCTACTAACGTTTACAAGTCTTTACCCCGGCAAACAAAGGCAAGAACTGTGGGTCAAAGATAAACAGTCATAAACCACCACCTCCTCCTGCGTTAGTAAACAAGGAAGGCATCCATGTTTGCAGGATAAAAGATAAAAATATCTTAAATGCATGTAACTATCCAGTGGTTGAGGAAAATATTTAAATAAAAGACAAGAGGAAGTAAAATATAACCATATTTCAATATTTTTTCCATGCAACTTTCATTAAAATTTTACTTTAATACAAAATAAAGAAAATAGAGACATCCCACTGATGATTTCGATAGACTGAAATAGTTGATTTTCTCTTTGTTTTTCTATGCAAAAATGAACAGAAAAAAAAGTAACTTTTATCTTATGATCAGTCACAGGAGATTAGAGAAAAAACATCTGGTTCTGATCTCCGACCAATTTGATCAGTAGATTAATACTTATGACTCGTTTTATAAAGAGGGACAGTTAAGGCTGCAACGTTGTTTACCATTAGGCTTACCAATATCTATCATTTTTGAACGACGTATTCAGTAAAGCACAATATTCTCCATAAACAAGCATCTTTTCTCAAATTATTAGGAAGCAATAATACTAACTAACTTTTTTCCTTTCATTTAACTTTATATTTATGTTTGTGGCTACAAAACTTTGAGTTGTCAGTGTATTAAAAGGTTAACCAAGGTATTTTGTGGCCCAACCTCATGAAAATCTAAATGATGGGTTCCCTAAAGTTGTAAACAATGATAAAACCCTAACAGACAAATATTCTCTCATATATATATCTTGTGCATCTATGAGTTTTACTTTACTCAACCTTTCTTTCATATTTTAAACCACCTAAATGCACACAGTTGAGTTTAATAGTGCATACCACGAACAGCAATCATGATAAAAATTCAAAATTTATATTGATTTCTGATCTCAACGTTGGTAAATAGGTTACATTAAACACATTTGTAAATACATTCAATTATAATCTAACTCAACGCTTCAATCCATTGGTTTTCGTTAAACGTAACATGCTGAAAGAAGAAAAAAATCTGTTTTAAAGAAGTTTAAAAAAAGAGATTGTTAACAATAGATGTCCATAAAGTCAGCAGATGTAATTTATCTTCATACGTCACAGCAGCGTCACGCTTTTTCTTAATTTCCCCACTGAAATTTATTTTCCAATACAAATACAATACAAAGGGAGAGTAGGATGCGACCAAAGGGGGATTCTGTTCAGTCACATAAAAATAAATAAATAAATAAATAAATAAAAGCATCGTTGATTTAAAACAGACAAATGCAGCCCTAGGAAAAAAAAGAACCACCAGTCTGATGAAGCCTACTTTACCACCCATAGACCGCCATCGGCTTTTACTGATCTCCAAAGAAATGGTGTGGAAAATAAAATGACCACAATATCAGAGAGAAAAAATGTGTTTCTGCTCCCAACTCCTCTTACCTTCCAGCAGACGTTGAATTATAGAGTCGATGTTTAATTTGTCCGGCTCCGCCATTTTCTGACGTTATCGGGAAGTGAGAGCTCGGTTTTATGCGTCGCACCTTTTTAAAATTCAAAAGAGAGAAGAAGACAAGATGGGCCAAAGGTTACTTTCTACAGATGTCACCGGTCGAGTTCAGAAGCAAACGACGCCAACAAATCGAGCAACATGAGCATAATCAATGAGCTAATCCGAGCTAAAGCTGCTACTTTTTTTAGTAGCATCGGCACAACTGTACCGCGGCTGCCAAGCTCTGTAATAACATGTTAAGCTGATAAAATGTCCCCGAACCTTTTTCTTCGGAGCCGTACCTGTCCTCCCGGTACGAAAAACGAGGGGATATGTATGAACAAGGTTAAATGTTAGCCCCTTTCCTCCTGCTTTGTCCGGCTCTCTCCACACTCTCCCCCCCAGGAACTTTAAAAGAAGGCCGCTTGAGCCGAGCGTCTACGGCTACATACGAGGTTGAGTTAAACCCAATACGTTAGAGCTGTCTTAGAAGTTGATTGGCCAAACCGCTCAACCTTTTGCATCTAATTGGGTAATTGATATGTCTGTCTGAATCTAAGCTCCGCCCGAAGGAATCTTAACGGCTATCCAGTCGAGCCTCTTTTCAATTTATATCGCGCCCTCTGGCGTTAACATCTGTAATTACAATTCTTAATGGCTATGGGAAGCGGTGGGTTTTTGTTTAGATTTTTGTGAATGTGATTAAAATATTTTAAATTTCTGATACGTGCTCAGATGTAATAATAATGAAGTGACATATTGTGTATTTTTAAAAGTTCCCTTATTGAACTTTGTTTCAAAAATCAAAAATTGAATTTATCGCACAGTGGGGAATATAAGGTATGCAGAGCATTGACAAACAAGGCAAAAAACGAAAAAGAAATTTTAAACAAAATGGAATGTGCAGTAAAGAAAAAAACATTTTGGGAAAGTTAACCCAGGGTAGTTATTAAATTATGAATGTAAAGATTAAAAAAATCAAGATAAGAAAAATAGCAGCCCATTTACAGCTTAAAAATGCAGCAGTAGAAATGTCATAATGAATATAATAAACAGTTATGGAGGGAATAATATATTTAGCTAGCACAGTCAAAGGCTGCTCCACAGAAAAAGGTCTCTGATCTTGCAGGGGAGAGCAACTCCAGTGCTTGAGGGCTGGTTTCATCCTTGGTCAAACACACCTGAATCAAATGTTTGAATTACCTTCCCAGTATGCAATCAATTTCTCCACAGTCCTTTCAGGTGTATTAAGTGAAGGACATATCTAAAAGTTCCAGGATACAGACCCTTCAGGACTGGAGTTCCCTACCCCACATTTAGACGAACTTGAGCTTTAGCACTTTTACAGTTTCCTGAGAGTTTGTTCCAGATTAGTTACACATGGGTGGTTAATACACTGACAATAAATCTGTAATGTATTTTGCCACTAAGCCTTTAAGTGCTCAATGGACTAACATAGGTATTTTAAGGGAATTCTCTGAGATCGTAAGCAAGTATAAGGACTTTAGAACTGGGGTGATGTGCTCCACTTTCTTAAAGATGCCTTTTCTTACGAGGTCTCTTTAACAGACAGAATAACTGGAAAGCATGCCTCTTAAAACTAACAGGAAAGTGGTCAGATAAAGCAACATTAGACACAGACACCTTGAAAATGTTTAGACCCCTCATGATAATGAAGTCCAAAATATGTTGGTCTTTGTGCATTTGTTAATGCGGCACTATCTCCAAAAATAATTAAACAGCCATCATTCACACATATCACAGATTAAAGGTCATTAAAATAACTGAAATGTTTGCTATGAACTTGTAAATGTTCAAAAACATGGTTTAAACCAGGCATCCCCAACCTTGGTCCTCGAGGCCCGCTGTCCTGCAGGTTTTAGAGGTTTCCCTGCTTTAGCACAGCTGATTGTGATGATTGCAGTAGACCAAAAGCCTGTTAATCAGCTTTCAATTCAAATCAGCTGTGCTGGAGTAGGGAAACCTGTAAAACCTGCAGGACAGTGGGCCTCGAGGACTGAGGTCAGGGATGCCTGGTTTAAACCATTTAACTGAAATATCAAAAGACTTAAATTTGCTCAGAAAGTTGGACCCAGAATTCAGGCAAGACAGACAATGGAATACTAAAGTATTTATATCAATAAAAAAAGAAGCAGAGAACTGTGAACACCAAAGGCTCAAGAATAATCTGGCCCTGATGGTTGGGACCAAGGAGTTTAAATAGAAGCAGGAGCAGGTGGGTCAGATAAGCAGTGATGAGAAGCAGGGCAGAGGTTGACAGGTTAAGTAAATGAGCAATCAAGCCAGCCATCAGCGCCAAAATCATGACAAAATCTTTACCAAAGTGGCCACCCCTCCACATTTAATCTGTTCTCAGAAAGATTGTAGTTCAGTGGTGTCTACTTGAAAAAATTGAAGTCTTGTTAAATAAATTTAGCCATGTTTCTGTTAAAACATAACATCACGATAATGGTAAATAATGTACTCAGTCATTGGAAATGATTTTCCTAACAGGGATCTATAAAGCCATTTATAGCACTTGGCTGATATTAACTCTCTGTCTGGTTGTACAAAACAATATGATTTAAAAATTCGATCGCTTATTATGATCTCTTATCCTATTTAGCTTTGTGCTTATTTTACAACTAACCCCCATCAGAGACCCAAGTTGATACTTGAAATGATCTTTTCTGATAGAGCTGCCAGTGGGGTCACGTCTGTATCACAGAAAGACTATTTGAAGAAAGCTTTAAATTGTTTTGAATTTATATATATATATATATATATATATATATATATATATATATATATATATATATATATATATATATATATATATATATATATATATATATATATATATATATATATATATATAATTTGTTTTTAGCATTGGTTTGCAAGTTTAGTTTCAATTGCATTTGATTTTTTTAGAATGCTTAGTTTCAGTTTAGTTTTTATTAGTGTCACTTTAACAAATGAGCTGACTGCCAAACTTGCATGCAGTACTAGACCTCATATTAATGCTTTAGGACAAAGACAAAAAACAAAATCTAAGCACATTCTCTCTTAAAATTCTGTTATATTAAATTACTTTAGTAAACCCTTATTACAGATTCATTTAGTTTTTCGGGTTTTTCCAGGTGTTTTTTAAATTTTTATATTAATTACCAGTAACAATTTTTTTTTATTTCAATAGTTTTAGCTAAAGATAATAACTTTGATTTGAAGGTCCTGATCTGGTGAAACATAGATTAGGTGGGGCTGTGTGGCTTTTTGACACTATTGGTTTTAGCAGTGAGGCCTGAGCTATGCCAAGGGGTAGATGAAAATTTAAAGACAACATTTAAATATATATATATATATATATATATATATATATATATATATATATATATATATATATATATATATATATATATATATATATATATAATATATATATATTTTTCCGATATTGTTCTTTTAAACTGTGGTAAGCCTTGTGTGTTGTTTAAAGTTATCAACTCTGCTCTGAATGCACCTCAGACTGTAATTGAGGCCTCCCCTGCTGTGTGTGAGAACTTTCTTCACTACTTTATTGATAAAGTCACTTCTACCAGAGCACTAATTTCACCTCCTGCTTCTGATCCTTCGGTGTTTGTCCCCTGCTCTGCTGTGTTTGACATGTTTGAACCTGTGACCCTGCCTTTTGTGCAGGAGATTGTGGGTCACTTGAAGCCTTCAGGGTCTCCAGATGATACTGTCCCACCCCGATTTTTTAAGGAGGTCTTTCCCACTATCGGGCCATCGTGTCTCACAATTATTAATAGCAGTCTGTCCTCTGGAGTAGTCCCTTTAAATCTTAAACATGCAGTCGTGCAGCCTTTATTAAAAAAACCTGGGCTGGATCCTACTGTTCTGTCGAATTTTAGGCCTATCTCTAAGTTGCCTTTCTTCTCAAAAATCTTAGAGAAGATTGTTTATTCTCAGCTCATGGACTTTTTAAATGAACAAAATGTTCTTGAGATTTTCCAATCTGGTTTTAAAACATTGCACAGCACAGAATCAGCGCTTTTAAGAGTTTTTAATGACATCTTTTTAGCTACTGACTCTGGACACTGTGTTGTCCTTGTACTTTTAGATTTGACTGCAGCATTTGATACAGTGGACCATGAAATCCTGATTGCTCGTTTGGAGCAGTGGGTGGGCATCAGGGGCTTAGCACTGGAATGGTTAATGTCCTACCTGTCACATCGGACTTTCTGTGTCAGCCTTGATGACTCTGTGTCCTCCACTGCTCCTCTCTCATGTGGGGTCCCACAGGGCTCCGTGCTTGGCCCTCTTTTATTTTCTCTCTATCTACTCCCACTTGGCTCCATTCTCAGGAAACATGGCATTTCCTTTCACTGTTATGCTGATGACAGCCAGATTTATGTCCCCCTCAAAAAGGCTGATTCCTACTCTGTTGAACCACTGTTAAGGTGTTTACATGACCTTAAAGCTTGGATGTCTTTAAATTTTCTGAATTTTAATGAAGAAAAGACAGAAGTCATGGTCTTTGGTGGCACATCTGTGACCCCCTCCCTAGTTGATCTAGGTTCTCTATCGCAATACAGTAAACCAACTGTAAGAAACCTCGGGGTAAAAGTGGACTCAGACCTTAAATTTGACAGCCAGATAAAAGCTGTAATGAAATCTAGCTTTTTCCAGCTAAGGCAGCTGGCAAAGATCAAACCAGTCCTTCAGAGACGGCACTTTGAGACAGTAATCCACGCCTTTGTGACCACTCGGCTGGATTACTGTAATGCACTTTATGTGGGGATTGCTGGGTCCTCAATTGCTCGTCTTCAACTTGTTCAAAATGCTGCTGCACGTCTTTTAACTGGCACACGCAAGTACGAGCACATTTCACCTGTTTTAGCTTCACTCCACTGGCTGCCCATCCATTTTAGGATTAATTTTAAAATTCTTTTATTTACTTTTAAAGCCTTGAATGGCCTTGCCCCAATTTACCTCTCTGAGCTTCTGCACCCCTACACTCCCAGCCGATCTCTCAGGTCAGCTGATCAGCTGCTCCTGACAGTGCCTAAAGCAAGGCTTAAGCTCAGAGGGGATCGAGCGTTTTCTGTTGCAGCTCCAAAACTCTGGAATGCATTGCCGCTGCACATTAGACAGGCCACCTCTCTGTCTCATTTTAAAACTCTTCTTAAAACCCACCTCTTTTCTTTGGCTTTTAACACCATGTAGAGTGTTGATTTTATGTACACATGTTGATTTTATGTATACACATGCATTTTTTTATCCTGTGCGGGCAGTGCTTTTATTTTATTTTATTTTATTACTTTTATTTATTTTAGTTATTTTATCTTTTTGTGCAGCACTTTGGAAACCTTGTGTTTATTTAAACCGTGCTATATAAATAAAGTGGATTGGATTGGATATATATATATATATTATAAATA